AATTTGTTGTTTTCAATTATTTTACAGGTGAGATACATTTATATACAAAATAATTGTAAAATTCATATATATAAACGAATTTTAGATTCCGTATAATAATTTTTCCAATAACTATAGATATTTTTAAAATTAAAACTATATTAATTTTACTAGCGTATCATATTGTTCCGCGTTATAAGAGGGTAATTCTCTAGTAATTTATAAAGAAAAAGATGTTGGACTTGGATTTTTTTTTTCCTAGCTGTCACTCTAATATCAAGATTCTGTAATATGTCGAAAATAAAAAAATCAAGATTCTGTAATATCCGAATTGGTCCAGGGGTAATTAAGGGATATCACATGTAGTCGGTGGGTGCTGCTGCTGGGAGAATCCAAAGAGATAATATTGGCGCAAATGGGAAATTATATGTTTTGACGAACATACCCCTGCAATTTCAACATACCATGCAACTCGGATTTGCAAACATACGTAACTTTTTTTTTTTTGGTAAACAACATACGTAACTTTTTTTTTCAAATCGTTTTTTATTCATAAGAACTTACTGCATCATCATAAGATGATATAAACTTTTTTGCAATAAGTAATTTGTAGTTACAGAAACATCATTTCACAAAATTTGGAAGAAATTATGTGATAACAGCTATTAAGCCGACATAAATGGAATATAAACACTAACATTTGTATATACGTCTCTTTTGCTAATCCTAGTTCTATAGTCACTTGTAAGTTCTTGTTACTCATGATGACAAAATAATGAAAATCGATTATAGTGTATTCTAGACTAGTGTTGGCCCCATACTATATTTCAAATCAATGCAAATTACAATATTTCATCGACCCAAAGTAATCGTTTCTATAACCAAACAAGACATTAAACCGAAACCGGTTTTCACGATAGAGAAACTGGACCAGACGATGAGCTATGCTGAAGTTATCATGACGAAGAACTCTGCATCCGTTGTTTGATCCATGACTCCAGATATTGCAGCTCCTTAGTACTGATCGAGTGCCCGAGATCCGGATAAGCCTGCTCATAAACGAAATCTCTTCAGATGTACCATTCTAAAATCACCGGTTTCTAAGATCCTGGATTTGACTGGCTTTGTTAATATGATAAAAAAACACAAGTGTTTGATTTGATTATTATAACCTTGAATTCACAAGTAACACCAGCTTCTTGAAGAAAAGGAAGAGCTGCTTGACCAGATTCGAATAGTACAGTCTTGTCGTCAATGCCATGAGACCACAAGATTGGTGTCTGCATATGCAAAATACCGAGACTCAGAAACCGAAAAGACAATGACGGAAAATCGACATTTACCTTTTTCGCATCTTCGGTAAACTGATTGATGATTGAAGAGTTGAATGGAACCCATCCGCTGAAGATTGCACCTCCTCCAAGAGCTTTTGGGTAAAGAAGAACACTAGCTAAGGTTAACGCGCCTGCAAGAATATCAACACATAAGTGGATTCAGATCAGTATAAAAGAAAAAAAGGTCTCTCTGCCAAGAAAATCGAACGAGATAATCCATAAAAAGGTTTAACTAATGAGGGCAAAGAGAGATCACCTCCTTGGCTAAATCCACAGATATACACATTTTCTGGTTTTATTCCTCCTGAAATCTCCTGATCTATAACGGCATGAACGTTCTTAACCGCTTTAAGCACACTGCTTTCATCTCTCGGGGAGCCCTAACACATAATAGAAGTTACTTACTTGATTACGCAAAACACATTGAACACAATCCCAACAATGCAAGAACGGTCCGATCTTTATACATACAGATTATATACCCTTAACTCTACTAAACAATTGTGATAATTTGCAACCTAGAGACCATATTGGAAGCTTACTAATTTAGAGAGTTTTGAGATCATGAGAATGTTAGATCAAGTAGAGAGAGCTGTTACCGCCGTAAGAGGAAGCTCAAGGATGTCAAACCAAGAAGGCATCACCATACCATCTGCATAAGAGCAGAATGCAAAATCATTAGCAAGTACCTAAAGATTACTCAGATACAAAATGATCATCACTGGATAGTCTGTTATCATTCACTTCAACTCTTTGATACTATATAAATCATATATTTTCCATAAACCAATGCTAAAAATCCAAATGCAATAGTATCATATAACATAATCTCCAAAGTGAGGACAAGATTCTAACAATTTGAAACCAAAATCCTCCACGAAAATAATCAGATTCATAGAGAAAAACGAAACCCACAAGAGCAATAAACAAATCTATGATCCCAAAAACAGAAGATTTAAGTTTAATCGTACAATTGCAGGAAACCGGATTTGATGGAGCAGAAGGGAAGAGCCACTTAGTGTTCCTAAACTCAGGGGATTTGAAAATTGTCTTGATAGGTTCGTTCGCAGGTCCAGAATCGCCAAGCCCGTGAAGCCACAAGATGAAGGTTCGAGCCGCCATAACCTCTGGTTTCGGT